AAAAAAAAAAAAACAAACTATTTTTCTCTTTGTACATGTAAGCTGAGAATCTGCTTTTCCTTTTGTTTATCAGTAACCCCACATAAAGCCTTTTCTTCAAATGTTTAACTAAGTCACGGTATCTTTAAAGGAAACTTTCTCAAGTACCCTTACTAATTTCTACCCAGTGACGTGGATGAACACAGAGATGACCTCATGTCTATGATACAGACTGTACATGGACAGGAGCAACCCGGGGATAAAAGGCCCCGTGCAGGAGGGGGCCTTCTGAATGGCAAGGACTCAACTCGAGCTGAACTCAACGAAATAAAATGTGAAATCCTACACTTAAGGTTTTTTTAAAAAAAACAGTCACTAAGTACATAGGAAGTAAAAGATTTGTTGTGCTGCCAGCTTACAAGCAGTTTATGTGACAAATCATCTGGAGATATTGTTTAATGTTTAAGGGAAGGCGTAAGTGTTAGTTGTTCGAAAGAGAAGCTAATAAAGTCTTGGGCTGTTGTTAGCTAGTCAAATTTCTGCAAGTAACAGCTTCGTAGTACTCTGTGCTCGTCAGACCTGGTCTGAACCAATTAAAGTGCATTCGTGAGTGTCATCCCCCTAATGAGACCACCTGAAAACCAGGCCGTGTAAAGAATAACTGAAGAAATCATGTCTATTTGGTGGAAGGAGAAAGTAAGGGACTGCATAATGGGCATCTTCAAGTAACTACGAGCTTTCCTTCCTGACTTGAAGCTAGTTTTTCTAATGTAAAACACACAGTGACAGAAACTGGGGAACGTTCGAGATGAGGCAGAAAGACCAAGAATTTCTGTGTTCTACCGGGGAATCGTGAGGGCTCCCCTCACGGGACTCCTCCCAACTAAACTCTGCGATACTTACTGGTACATAACTTGGCATATCAACAGTGTAAGTAGGATGCAGCTTCAGCCATTCAACTAAGTCCTTATTTTTAGGAGCGTCCTCCCCCACCAGCCTAGTCCCGTCTTCAAGATTTATCACGGGGATCCGCGTGTCTGGGTCCAGCTGTCCAGGAGAAGGAATGTTTCTTGTAGGTGGGGTCTCTATATCTTCTTCAAAAGCTTTGGTCACCTCAGCATCCTCCTGCAGAAAGTTGACAGTGGTCTGAATTCTCATAGGATGAGAGATTCCAGAAATGTCTTATCCCAAGAAAATGCTATCCTAGCATAATGGATCTTTGACCAAAAAGGGAAAAAAGCTACCTGAAACACTGTCCGTTTTGGAACAGCTATCAAATTAGAAGATGAAACTTTAATATCACTCTCCACACTACAGAATTAAGTAATTAGGGAGGAAATCCACAGCCCGCCAATGCTCCATGTTTGAGATCTTAAGCCACTAGGGCACGGGCAGTGTAGTCTGAGCTTGACATGCATGAAAGGTAGCCTCTCAATCTCTCTTGGGGATCTCGGGATAATATCACTAAAGAAATTATAATTGAAGGAATCCAGCAGCCATCTCGTGCATAGCTTTTTGGCACTCTCTGAACCGTACAATTTTATTGGTAGGACAATATTTTGAAGCAGGTGTGTGAGGCAACACTGAAAATATGCCCAGTTGGAAGCCTGTTCTCTACCACTGTCCAACCGGTGGTCCCCACACTATTACTCCAACCTCTAGACAACTTTTCTGACAGCCCACTGTCTATTCCTGCTGCTTCTACTTGGGCTCAGTTCTTCGTCACTGCCCACCCCCACCCCAAATTACTGTGATATTCTTAAATGGTCTCCCTGATTCTAGTTCCGCTCTTCTTTACTCAGACTTCCACACTGCTGTACTGCAGTCGGTTTTCTAAAATGCACTCTTCCTAGTTTAACTAGGAACTAGTTAAACTATTTAAATTATTTGGTAACTGAATTCCCCATCACCTTCAGGATAAAATCCAAGTTCTTTAGCATGGCAGCCAAGGCCCTCCCCGATTTATATCCTACCTTGTATCCAAGCTCACTTCTGTCGAACTTCACCTCCTCATCGAATTCCCCTGCTGCCGATGACTTTCAGTTTACCAAACATGGAAGGCTGTCTCTAGCCTCAGTGCCTTTGCACATGTTCTCCCTGTAAGCTCTTTTCAAATGACCAACACCTACACAATCTTCAAAACTTAACCAAAGTATGACCACGTCTAAGGAAACTTCCTCATCTGTTTCTCCCCGTATCCTTCTCCTTCCATTCCCATTCTTTCTTTGGGCTCACAAAGTACCCCAGGCATGCCTCACAGCTAGGATACAATATTATTTATCAGTCACTCATCTTAAACACTGTGAGTTTTCCAGTGCAAGCACTTGTTTAGCACTTATTCTTTGCATTGTACTTTGGGGGGGGGGCAGGGGGCAGGGAGTGCACACAGGGACAACTACCATGTTGTTGGATGTAGGATGACTGTATCCTTACTTTTCATGGCAACGCAAAATGGTCTCCAGTTTGAGTATGGACACAATGAAAGATTTTAGGACTTGTCTTCTTCCATATAAGTAACATTGCTGACCTTTATACCTCTTTACTATTCCATTTATTTATAGCTCAATCAGCATTTTCCTTGTATTTTATGTGTATGCACATAACTTCGCACAATACCAAATACGTAACCCCTAAATTCTAACATTTGACAGTGAGAGAAACAAAAATTTAAAATACATTCTCTAACATCTCTTAGGAATTCTGAGCTGGGTTGCTTATGTGACTTTAGAAAAAGGAAAGACATCAATAAGTTCTTAGGGATGACTGAAAATACGTAAAATGCATAAAGTCAGCCTGAAGTTTAACACAGAGTACATAGTTACAATAGGAAATAGCACCTGGTTCACACTGTTAATTCCTGATGCCTGGACCACAGACAAATACGTGCTACGATTCAAATATTAAATACAGTAGTGAATAAACAGAGGTGGGAGATGCAGAAACTCACCAATATGTTGATGCTTATGGAGAAAGGATTTTCAGGGAACAAAATCTATCCAAGTGCTAGGGTGGTTTTGAGTAGGGAGGCTAATCACTAGTGGTACACTTTGGGGACCACACACCTAGAAACGGCATTTGAACTTAGGGAATAACCAGTCACAGTTGATCGATTACAAGGTATATTTTTATAAGATTCTAAAAGTAATCATATGCTTCACAGAAATGACCATTATTATGATTGGTACATGGTAATGAATTTTGAAATTAACTTCTAATCACCCAGAAGCTTCTGTTTCAGTCAGACCCCACCAGAGGGCAAATCCCAGTGAATGCTATTTTGTCATTTCTAACCTTTAACTCAACCACTCCTTTTAGTGCCCTTTTAAGTTATTTGGCTTTCTTGAGATTTAAGAAACAGCGGGGCGCCTGGGTGGCTCAGTCGGTTGGACGTCCGACCTCAGCTCAGGTCATGATCTCACGGTCCGTGAGTTCGAGCCCCGCGTCGGGCTCTGTGCCGACAGCTCAGAGCCTGGAGGCTGTTTCAGATTCTGTGTCTCCCTCTCTCTCTCTGCCCCTCGCCTGGTCATGCTCTGTCTCTCCCTGTCTCAAAAATAAATAAAAACATTTAAAAAAAAAATTAAGAAATAAAAAAATGACCAAATAAGAATAGGGTTGGAAAAAGTAAGAACTGTTGAAAGAAACGTCTCCCTCCTCCCTGTTTCAAATTCCAGTGTTTCCCAAACTGTGTCCCACCTGCCCAGGGAAAGAGTCTCTCCTGGAGTGCTGGCTCCTCGTTCACAAACCAGCTCCAGTGTCCCTATGCTGATCCGGGTTCCAAATCGATAAGGCTTAAGATGCCTGGTACCAATTTGTCCTTTTAAAAATGGACTACATGAAATTGGGTTCTTTGGGGTAAAACCCTCGTCACCGCCCAGGCAGCGCATGTGTAAGCGGGGTGACTGAAGATTAGGGAAGGGGTTATTTTGGTCCCGCTGTCCTCATTTCCTTTGAGTTGAAAATGTCAAAATCCATTGGCACATACATTTCACACAAACCTAAACTAGAACGCGTTTTTTTTTTTTTTTCGATTGAGATTTTAAAAACAGCTGCAGTTACAAAGATAGGAGAATTTGCCATCACTAGCTGTATATGAACACAAATCTCCAGTCTGAAACTCAACATTTATACTAATCTAATAAATGTCAGAACCCCAAACAACAATATTTTTAAGAGCAGAAGCTTTTTCCGCCTCAGGAATTCAGAGATAACAATTATAGGCTCAGAAGAACGTGTTTTTGTTTTGGGCTAGTCTTCCGAGAGTAATCAATATATCAGGATCTCGGGAGGAATAAATCCTCAAGCTACATTTGGTTCAGGCCGAGTGATCTGTATCAATGCTCGACACAATTTTTCAGCCCAGAACCACGAGTGTTCACTGTGATCCTATTTCTTTAGTGGAAGAAGCCAGCTTTAATACCACATCCCTGAGAGGAGCACAGGCCAGTGTCGTCAGAATGGCAGGGACTCTGGCTGCCACCGTGGGCACACACAATGGAAGTGAGCTCCTTAACTTACTGCACTCAATGACGTCCGTTTGTGGCTCATGAAAAGCAGATCAAGACCCTCCACGTTTTTCCTCCTTCCCCGCCTCCTCTTCATGGGAGGCTCTCCATCCACCAGGGAGCCGTTAAGCAGATGCCTCGTGGGTGTGCGTGACAGGCCTGCCTGGAGCAGCTCCATTTGAGTCTTAAAGGCATCGGACACCGGTGTCGAGACATTAGGCAAGATAAACTTTGAAGTAAGAGACGAAAAATTTGAGGTAGAGCTTGCTGCCTCTCTTGAGGCCTTTGATAAATCTACAACTTTTTCTTGTCCGTTTTCTGAGACCACTTGAGACTCCCTCAGCTGAGCAACCATTTCCATGAGGTTTCGCCGCTTGGCCGCTCTCTCGGCCTCAATTTCAATTTTTCTCCTCCTCCTCCTCCGCTGGCGAGGGACAGAGAGGTTTAGGGCGTCTTCCTATTGAAAAATTACAACACGACAGTGAGCCAAAACTGTATCTGCTAACAGGCTGGCTTTCAGAAAAAAGAACAAGAAGCTTCAGGAACTAAACATGCATAACTGCTGAAAAAGAGCTGAGGAAACGGCAGCCATCTTGACTCTGAGTAGGACCAGTGAGACACGAGCTTCCAAACTGAGCAAAGACTCAGACAGCTCACCTCTGAACAGCAAAACAAACTCACCTTTGACAACTGAGGAGAAGTCGTGAGGTCCTCGCTCCCACTAATGCTAGCTTGGCCGACCATGGAGAGCTCGGCAAAGCTCCTCTTCTGCAGGGGACTGTCCATGGTGGGTGGCGTGTAACCAGGGATGAGGCCCTGGAAATCAAACATCTGGCGCCTATTTACTGGCCATTTGCCTTTCAGCACGGCTTCACAGATGTTGTCTAATCGGTTTATCATTACTCGGTCCTGGAGGGAGAAGAAAAGTCACACAAAATTGCAACAAAGACGGGGTGAAAATCACTAGATAAATATTTCCATCAAGATGCTAAAGAGCATAAAAGGTTTCAAAGGCAATCGCGGGGGGTGGGGAGGGGGGGCAGGACACTTAACAGCCTGGGTAGCTGTCCAGGTCGGTGATCAACTCTTGATTTTGGCTCAGGTCATGATCTCACGGTTCATGAGTTGGAGCCCCACATCGGGCTCTGTGCTGACAGTGGAACCTGCTTGGGATTCTCTCCCTCCCCCCTCCCTGCCCCTCCTCTGCTTGCTCTGTCTCTCTCAAAATAAAGAAATAAACTTAAAAAATAAAATAAAATTAAAAAAAAAAAAAAAAACTCAACCAGTGGGGAAAAAGTAAAAGAAAACGAAAAACAAGTGAGTAAATAAACAAAATCCACAAAAACTACTTTGCTGTGGTGGGAGGTCCTAAGATAGCCCCAACATAGAAAACCTAGTATTTTTCAACTATCAACACCGGATCACACAAATGAGAAAACATTACGTAACCATCTCTAAAATATCCCCCATATTTCCAGAGTAACTTCTGTTCAAGTTTAAAGAATTGTTGGTGAACACCAGCAGACAACAATGGAACCCTGCATTTAGCTTCTGGATGTTCTGGTGCTTCAGATCCACAGGCTGGATCGAAATGTGTCCCAGGAAGTGGGACATCATTAGCGTCACTATTAATAAAGTTCAGCATTACAAAATGGGCACCAACCTAGGAACACCTAATGAATGTCAATTTGCGTTCCCCACCTATTATCACTTCAAATTTCATTGAAGCGTGTACATTAAAAATTTCTAATTACAGCTCTTAGGCCCGGTTTCCATAGATTAAAAGTGTCTGCCACGACAGACTTTTTACTGATCTGGGAAACTCTTCTATACTCAATAAGGGAGATCAGCATAACAGAGAATACAGAGAAAAAAATATGTCTTTGATAGTACACTCTTCAGCTAAAAATTTCACATTGTTTCTCACATAGCTGACACTGTGGAAGACCAGCCTGGGGATCAGTCAACTGAGACTGTTTTTGTGTTGTTTGTTTTAAACCAGACAGCCCTGTTACGGTGATTAGAAATGATTATGTCCCCACCCCAAAGAAACAGACCCAAATTACATAGGGATTTATTATAAATTATGCTAGTTAGCCAAAAAAGTAATTTCCATTTTGCTTTTGGTTGCAGATAACTACATTTGGAATTACCTCATAATTGTTTGGAGCAAATGGGTCAATAGCCCACCCTCTCCCGGGCTGAGTTTCCAAACCTATGAAGGTGTCTTAACTCTGAAAGCTCTGTTTCAGATTAAAAAAAAATTAAAACCCACATTTTTTAAATGTCCACATATTTTTCCCTTGTGCATTGTTGGCGGGATGGCAAATGGTGTGACTGCTACAGAAAACAGTATGGAGGCTCCTCAGAACAATCAAAAATAGAATTACCACGTGACCCAGCAATCCCACTTCTGAGTATATACCCAAAGGAACTGAAAGCCGATTCTCAAACAGATATTCGCATACTCGTGTTCACAGGAGCGCTATAAGCGAAGAAGGGGACGGAACCCAAATGTCCCAAGGACAGATGAAGAGAGGAAGATGTGATATGTACACACAATGGAATATTATTCAGCCTTAAAAAGGAAGGAAATCCTGTCACATGCTGCCACGTGGATAAACCTTGAGCATCAGATGACAAGAAGTGCAATAAGCAAGCCACGAAAGGGTGACTACTGCGTGATTCCATTCCTACGACAAGGTATCTAAAGCAGTCAATCCACAGAAACAGAGAGGAGAGTAGTGGTTGCCAGAGGCTGGCGGGGGAGAGGGAGCTGTTTAGTGGGTATAAAGTTTCAGTCATGCAAGATAACATGCTGGAGATCTTATGGTGATGTGAATATACTTAGAACTACTGAAGTGTACATTTAAAATTGGTTAAGATCAGGGGCGCCTGGGTGGCTCAGTCGGTTAAGCGGCCGACTTCGGCTCAGGTCATGATCTCGCGGTCCGTGAGTTCAAGCCCCGCGTCGGGCTCTGTGCTGACAGCTCAGAGCCCGGAGCCTGCTTCGGATTCTGTGTCTCCCTCTCTCTGACCCTCCCCTGTTCATGCTCTCTCTCTGTCTCAAAAATAAATAAACGTTAAAAAAAAAATTTTTTTTTTAAATAAAAAATAAAATTGGCTAAGATCATAAATTTCATGTTGTGTAGTTTTTACCACAATAAAAAAAAAAAAAAAAAAAAAAAAAAAAAAAAAAAAGGAAGAAAGGAAGGAAAGAGAAAGACCTGTACACATTTCATTTTGCTACAGGGTGAGTCTGTGGAAACAAGCCATAGACCATACTGCACAACGTGATCGCCAGCCTAAAAAACCTCAAGGAGCCAAAGATCCATATGAAGGGTTCTTTTTACCTTCCTTTCATGTCACCTCTCCTATCCTGTTACAAAAGTACCGCACAGACTTTAAAACATGAGAAAAATCTACAGTCCTCATACCCTGTGTCAAAGTTGACCTTACACTTACTTGAAAAATCAAACTGGAATGATTTCCCGTACCCCCCACTCTTTTTTGGCCCTCAAAACAAAAACCTAAAAACCCCCACCAACCTTAGGCCAAAATGAGAAGGCAAATGTTCTTTCATGAAGGAGCTGAGCTACTGAAGGGTCTCCATCCTCCATGTAGAACCCATCTCGGGTTTCATCCCTAGCGGTGCTCATGGAGGCATTGCTTTCTTCATCGAAATTCTTCCCTCTAGAGACAGCTCCTGCTAAGAAATGAGTTAGTGTGCATTACTCACGACCACAGCATCACTGGAAAAGAAGTTTAGAGAGGACAGGGTGAAAAATTTGAATACCACGTGGCTCCATTTTATTGAGTACCTACTTTATGGTATTAGGCATCTTATAATCTTGTTGTTAAAGCTGCTAACGGGCCCTTTGTGCAGATGGTGTTCTCCTCATTTTATGGATGAAGAAGCAGACGGGCTTAGGGAGGTGACATCACTAGTTATCTGACATTGTGCCCGTGCATCTCGGAGGAGGTGGAATGACAACCAGGTCTCTGACTCAAGAGCCTCTCCATGCGATGTGGTCCCCTCCCTGCCCCCACAGCCCTGCCCACAGGAGGGAGGCTAACAACCCACCAGAGCACCAAGCCCCAGCTCCAGAGGGACAGTACGACAGGATGTTTTATTTAGTTTTCCTTTGTGTTGGGAACAGCAACCAAACTGAGACTCACAAAGAACACTGGTTATTTTCAGATTCTACTTCTACCCTTTACTTGTGATTTAAAACTAAAATTAAGCATCATTTGTTTGAAATTCATCACCAGTATTTACTCAGTGAATGACCCTTGTCCTTCACGTGTATCTGTCCAAATTAAAGTCATCTGGAATTCTTCTGATACCACTACCATCAAGCTGACCCCTCCTCTTAATCTGGAAATTGTTACGTGCCCGTAACACCCTTCTGGGCGTTGAAGTTGCTCGAAATACCGTGTTTCCACGCCACATCGGAGCAAAACGTACGCCTAAGCATAACCTGACACCACCCGTCCGGAGGAACATGTACACAAATTACCCTGAAAATGTAAACAAGAGCCCTTGTCACGTGACAGGAAACCATGGCCTGTCATGGCCGCCCCGGTGGGGCCGGGAGAGAGGACCGAATGGCGAGGCATTACCTTCAGGCTGGGAAGACTCTTCTGACTTATCATCATCCTCCAGCTTTTCTTCTTCGTCCTCTTCAGAACCTTTTTCCGAAATAGACTTGGGCCCTGTGTCGGCACCGACCTCCATCCCTTTCAGGTCACTTTTCACAGAGCTCGCCTCGGCCTCACAGCCCTGCTTACTGTCCTTCTCCCTGCCGTCGGTCTCTTCTTCCTCCTCCTTCCCCTCGGGTTTCTCTTGGGTGGTCATGCCGCCAGACTCCTCCGCTTTGCCCTCGCTTTGTCCCGCAGCCTTCTCTTCCTGGGCGTGAGCAGACGGGAGGACGGCAGGAGTCTGGCCAAATCCAACGGCCAGTGGAGTCAGGGAGGACAGGTTACCTGCCCCTCGGTTCTGGGCAAAATTTTTGTGCGCATCCAAGAAAGATAACTCGGGGTCATTGAGGATGTGATAATCCGTCCGGCTGACCCCGTGTTTAGCAGCGCCGACCAGCAAGTCCCGGTCATGCCTCCCACATTCCCACCACTCTGGCAAATCCAAACTCGGCTGGCAGAGCTTCAGCCTCTCTCCCAGCTGAGGGTGATGAAGAACCTGCTCGCGTATTTTCCGCAGCAGTTCGATGCGGTAGAGAGTTCTAGAGGCACGCTCTTCTGTGATTGGCTCAATCATGGAGGAGAGGTCAGGTGGTTCTGTAACATGAAAACAATTGTATTCACTTGGAAAAAAAACCTGAGTACGCTTTCAATTGTTCACTCTCTATTTTTCACTTTATTCGGCCTTTTACCATAGAACTTTCGTTACAAGAAGAACCTACCATCATCTGGCTTAGTGGGCATTCGACACACTCGCCTACACATGGCCACAAAACAACTGAAGTATTTCTCCAAACTCTCGTCAGACTTTTTGTCAAGTCTGGCAAAGGCTCGAAATTGGTTCCAGTCAAACTGCTGTTTCATGGGGTCAAAAATAACTCCAAAAGTGGATACCACACGGTAAAAATCAGCCTCTTCTCTTCTTGTCCACCTATGAGCAAGAAGACATTAGCTTAAACTGTACTTGAGTAAACAGGCTTAAAGTTTATTAATTCTTTTCCCCTTCTCCCCTAAACTTAATGTATGGTACTTATTCTGGGGGCGAGAGACAGACAGCTTTGATGTACTGAGACTTTCTTTGATCATTATCTGGGACGTGATTCTCGCCTCTTGCCGGCTGAGAAGGGCAGAGAAGAGAGGCACATACCAGGAGCTCAGTAAAACCCTGCAGAAACTCACTTTTGCCGTTTCTCAGATATTATAGCTTCCCTTTCCGCTTCTAGTGCTCTCACTTCCTCCCGAGGCCGCCGTCTCCGCCGGTCAGTCTTCATTAGAGCCTCTTGCCTCATTTGTTGCCTTTTATAGCTGCGCTGATAGGCAGTAATGAGCCGGCGCAGACGGGTGGTCAGGGTCGAGGTGTTGGGCCAGTAAAGTTGGCCTAACTCAGCATTACTCTCGCTGTGCTTGCCTGGGGAAGTGGAAAAAATATTTTTGAAATGTGTAGCTGCAATCTCGCAATACACAGGATTTTCCATCAAAACAAGATGACTCATTAACATTCAGATGACAGTGTGGGAAAGGGCATCTTTGTGCTCTCATTTTTAAAATATAAATAAAGGATAATATTAGTATGAAACTTACAAACTGCTTCTTTTTTAACTCCTTGGGCGGGGGGGAGCATGTTTACTCATCAGTTTTACGTAAAGAAACATACTTTATGCCACGAACGACAATATGAGGATGTTTTCCTGTAATGTACTTGGCATACCAATCTTGAACATAAGAGCTAATCACATGATTGCTCGCTGATTATTTTACATTAGAGGGAAGGTCAGTATTCTACAAACTTGCACTATTTCAGACACCTAGCAAATGCCCTCCCTACTCCCAAGAGATAGATTTCCAAAGATGCTGAAAAGCTTCCGCTGACCGGTAAATAAATACATGTAAATTACCTTAACCCAAAAAATAGTTATTTCATCAACGAAATTCAATGTTATGAAAAATAAACAAGAATTAAAATGACTCACAAAAGGGACGAGTCGGCGTAGAAGAAACGACACTCATGGAGAAGCCGAGGGCAGACACGTGAGCGATGCCTCACGGCATAGTTTGCTCTGCTCTGCGGGCTTCTGCGGAGCCTTACCTGTGGAGCGGATCTCCATGGATTCTTCCTTATCTTCTGGAGGAGAATTTGCAAATTCCTTGAAAGCAAAGCAAGAAACAGAATCGTTTCAATTTGGGGTTTCACTTTGCTTTATCTTTTAAGGAGAAGGCCACCATCTATAAAGTTTAACAAGTCGTATATGGGCATATAATATTTTACTGGTGCCGTAAAAGTCAATATACTCAAGTCCTTACATCTATTTCATCCTTGAATGGAGTCCTGGTTGGTTTATATTCCGGGTCTTCATCTTCTCTATCAAATTCTCCCCTGTATCAAAATTGTAAAAAACGTTTAAATCGTACAGATAAGCAACAGACTGAGGGGGCTCGCAAAAGACTACTAGCCTGCCCAAAGCCAATTTTAATTCTGGATTTGACATCAAAGGCGACCCTATCAGGGTTTGAATCGTGCGGTCATGGGGGAAGGGGCTGGGGCGGGGGAAGTGTCATCATTTGGAAAAAACAAGCATGTTTCAGATTATCCAGATAATACATTGTGTTTAAATAATCGTTATGACACATAAACAGACTCTCCTGGTAAACGTCACGGAAGTTCAAATCAGACGCAACGCAGTGCCTAGCGTGGTATAAGAACTGAACACTGCCAATAGATGTGACACTGACATAAAGTTTATTAAAATTTTTAAATGTCCTTCTTACCCGTCACCGCCATCTGCTAGCATGTCTGTTCCTCTTTGCTCGGCAGCTATGGCCTTGGCATCGGGCATCCCGACTCGTTCCAGGAAGCACAGTGCGGGGTCAGCTCGCATGGAATTGTACTTCTCGTAGCCTGTGCCATAACCACCGGCCCACAGAGGACATGCACAGAAACAGCAAGAGGGCCATCACTGACAAAAATCACAGCACTGCCCCGGTATACCAAGTTCATCCCTCAGCTGAGACGATCACTTAGGAACCTTGTTTTAGGGAAGCATTCCATAGGACGCTCACTGCAGGCCAGATGTGGGGCGGGGCGGGGTGGGGTGCGGGGTGGGGGGGGGGCCCGAGTTACATTTCAGGGATCTTAGCCGAATGACCACAAACACTACCGGAAAAACAGGTTCAAAATAACTGCGAGATGCCTGGGAAGAATTTTGACCCCATTTTCCCCAAGACCTAATTTTGCTTGACATTTAAAAGGCTTCATAATGCTCCTTCATGACCTCCACAGGGTACTCTGCGTCCGCCCCGTCCTCCTGTGAGCGGCTTCAGTCCTGCAGGAACTCGCACCGCTGGCTGAAAATCCCTGTCTACGTAAGGCCAGCGAACCTGTCTTATTAGGTTTAGGATGATGCATGTCAGTAAGACGACACTGTTCCCTCCATGGTTTTCAAACTGCAATTTGCTTTTTGACTGCCCGAGTTGACTAGATGGAAAATGGCAGATCCCAACAGTGCACTGCGGGAAAATGATTTTTAGGCCGAGCTCACAAAACGCGGCTGCAGTACGTAGGCAGAACAGCACAATTCAATTAGGATGTGTACTACATAGAACGCACCGCTCCTAACTGCTGTAGAGCCGCAAGCCAAACTGTAATCATGAAAGGTTTTATAAGCCATCATTCTCCCCTTTAGTCAGGCCGGGCTGCTGAGAATACCTCCGTGACCCCCAGAGAATTGGGATTATAATCAGGAATCGCTCGCTGTATATATCATGCCAGTTCTGCATCCCCCAGCCTTTCAAAGTTAACAAGGCTGCATCCCACTCAGGGGAGCCGTGAGTTCTCGGCACTGACATTTGTGAAATATTGCTTGGAACAAAGCCCAGGAGGCACTTGTACAGATTAATAGCAGAGGTTAAGCCCACCGTCCACTTTGACACGGGTTGGCAGAGCTAAGCAAGGGGAGCCATGCTTCGAAGCAAAGTTTAGGGAGAGCTATAGGACGACTTGGCTATTATTAAAACAAATATGGTTTGGGTTTTATTTACAGCCAAGAAAGAAATGTTTTCTTCTCAAAGACTCAACAAACATTCAAAAACAGCATCTGATATTTACAGTTCGTATTAGATTTTTAGTAGAGGAAAATGGAAGAAGCCAAGAGTCCTCTGGAACTATCCTCATTAATATTATGACTTTGGAAAAGAGCACGCGAAGAGCTCTAACGACAAAGCCACACAGTCCAGACGCGGTCGGACAGAAACTTCACTTACCGTGTTTGAACACTCCAATGAGGAGGGACTTATCTGCTTCCTTATCCCACCAATCTGTGGGGACTTCCGCATGGAAGGGTTCAGGGATCCACACATCAGCCTCACTATAAAGACAACCGTTCACATAATGTTCGCAACACACGTAAGATTAAAAAAGGATCCCGGGTAACCACAAACACGGTACACGGGCTCACACGCCCCCTTCCCACAACAAGCATCTGGGCGTGGGGGGGGGAGGGGGGGAGCGGGCAAAGGTTAAAAGAAAGGGTGTCGGCCAGTCGCTTTCTGCCGTAGCCAGAAATGAACTTCATCGCACGGGGCCCCGTTTTGAAGGTCACCTCAGAACGCCAGCCATGCAGTGCACACCTTTTTATATGACACGCGCACATCCGCACACGCTTTCCCCGACGACCGTCGCGCGCCCCCGCCCCGTGCTCCCAGGCGCAAAAAAGGAGATGCGGCCCCGAGGGTCTCTGGAGGTGCCGAAACCCAACCCAACCGGCGGTGTTTCCCGACCTCCCGGATTATGACGCGGAGGCACAGAGCGGCGTGCGTTTGCACTAACCTTGAGTCAGCACCCTCTAAAATCTTATCTGCCTGGTCTCCTATAACTTCTTGTCTTAGGTAGTACAGCATGCGGACACGCAGCAGGACCCTGGAGAGGAAGACAGAGGGGGGAAAAAGTTCTTCACTTCAGGACTGTTTGCCAACAGTGGCTTTTTGGCAGCTGCTGCTGTTCATCCATCATCCTGCCAAGGCTGATTAGCCATGCTGTATGGTAGGCTTGAAGCGTGACAGATGGTGGCACATAATCACCTCTGTGTGGTGCTTTCTGCTGGCTTCCAACAGGCCTGCCTGGCAACCGCTCGCGCTGCACAGAGAGGGACCGGGCTCAGCCCAGCCCAGGCGCACTTCATTCCGTTCTACCTAGTGCAGCTTGTGAAGTTTAGACACGTACCCTACCACTGCCTCTGAAGTATTGAAGCAAGTTTGTAAACAACTGAGCAGATGGCTTTCAGTAACTGTTCTGCTTCATTATCTCATAAAATTTCCTCAGCTGCTGCCTTAATACCATTTTTGGAAGCACATCAGAAGTTGTAGGAATAAACGAGATATAAAATCTGGTTTTACTACCTTACAATAAACCCTCAATATGGAATGTCAGGTTTTTCAGATTATACAACTTTGCTTCCGAGAAAGGAAGATGGTGATGGGGGTGTGGGAGGGGGTGGGTCCTCACTCTTCTCCCTGAAGGAATATTAAGCATTATTTATTCTTTCTAGTTTACATTACCTGGAAGCCTAGGCTGTGGCTTAAAAAATAATGGCACAAAGGAGGTTAAAATGCGTCCGGTTCCTTGAAGTTCTTGGTCATTTCCAAGGAGTAAGTTTCTGAAAAGGCTTGGCATTCTAGGTACCAGAGTTTCAATCGCATCTGGATTTCTTTGGTGGCATAAACTTAATTCTTTCAGTAAAGCCCCCCTGGCAAATCCCGAAGGCCCACGTCTACTCTGAATCCAGCATCTCCTGCTGGACATCCCCTGACCCGCATTCAAGACTGGTATTTGACGAGTGCCTAAGTGCTGTCCCCTAGCTGGCTGATCCCATCACTCACTCACAGAGCTTGTTACTGCCCACGTGTCACGTCTGCAGATACTAGCTCATCTGATCTTCACGATAATCCTACGGTGAAGCGGGGCACGTTACAAGTTCCATTTCACAGACGTGAAAACTGAGAGTCACAGAAGACCGGTGACATATCCAAGGTCACAGGGTCACCTTGAGCATGGACCACTTGGGAGTAGGCCTCCTGACTCCAGCACTGCACACTGTCTCTCAGGACGTGGCAAGTGTCCTTGAAAATATCAAAATGACAAATACGGGCAGTTTCACCAAAACAGACTACTCCCGCACACACGCCCAGGTACCCCGTGATACGCCTTCCTCTCCACCAGGTGTCTGCTTCTGAGCACCGGGGACTCTAGATAGACAGAGTGTGAGGCTGTAAATACCTGAGTACGCCCCACGGTAAAATTTTAATTTTTTCGAGAGTTTTCTTTCGATAGGATTAAAAACTGGCTGTGCCACACTGAACTGGCAAAAGGAAACTAACAGTATGGCACTCCATGGCTGGCACCTCACTTCTTCTCTCGTTAGAGCCCTTACAGGCCAGGACCTGCTTAGAGAGGATGCTCAGGAAAGGCAGTTACACAGGAAGCACTCTCCACCCTTGGCCGGATTCTGTTTTTCACCAAAACTCAGCACAGTGGCCATGAGCGGAATGGATTCGCTCCCTTTTCTTATTTTTAAAATGTTTGTTTCTGGGAGGAAGGAGAGCACAAGCCGGAGCGGGGGAGGGGCAGAAAGGGGGAGGGAGGAGGACAGAGCTTCCAAAGCAGGCTCTGCACTGACAGAAGAGAGCCCGGTGCCAGGCTCGAACCCACACACCGTGAGATCGTGACCCGAGCCGAAGTCGGACACCTAACTGACTGAGCCACCCAGGCTCCCCGGTTTCTCTCCCTTTTGATGGAAGACAAAATTTTCTTCTTTGGGAGGAATTTTAGTTACGTGGAGGCTTTCAAGAGCTAACTGTGAGTGTCACCTTTCTTCTAGAGGAAAAATTCGAACCAGTGCAGCTGGCAAGCTCAGTGCCCCTGTGGAACACAAGGTGGGCACCAGCAGGACGGTGGTATGTACCACACAGGAGACGGGCTCTGACCCTAAGGAGTCTGCCCTTGGGAAATCCGACAGACCAGCCTACTAATGAGTCTCCCCAGACTTCATTCACATTTGACTGGCTGTCCCACTAGTGACCATTTTCTGGACCTGCACCCAGTCCAAGCCCATATATGGCAACGAACTCTCCTGCCCCTTCATCTCCTTTAACCCGAGACAGTTCCTCTGTCTTTGTCTCTTGAAACTTTTGAAGAGAACTGGCTGGCTCTTTTCTAGGAGGCCCCTCAATCTGCGTTTCTTATTCTCTTACCACTCACGAACCTCTCCCCACTTTAGGCCCTGAGAAGTCTCGAGGCAAGATCTATCAGGGAGAAAAAGGGACTCCTCGCGTGTTCCAGAGAGCAGACGGCAAGCCTTGCCGGTCTTCTCCTGCGACCACGGGCAAAGAGCACCCTAGCTACGTCTCACATGCTAATCAGGGAGGGGACTCCACAAGAGTCCGCCACTGATCTCAGAACGGGAAATTGAAAACTACTGCCCCTGTCACTCTAGGACCCGGGCACAGGAGCCACTGTTCCCACACTGAATCACTTCACTTCCGGTTTGTGTGCCTCCAGAGCTCAGAGGGCTATTGACCCAAAGCTGACATAAACCACAGGAAACAGAAGTTTTCTAATAGCTGTAAGTGGGGCAGCATTTTAGGGAGAGCTATAATGCCACAGCAGTAACAACAAAACCGTTTCCGAGGCACCAAAATGGTCTGAGGTAATGGTTTTAAAGACTCAAAAAGGAAAACATTTGTCAGTCAGAATCTAGTGATAGCGATCAAAGGTAGTCCCCAAAGGCACTACCATATTTAAGAGGGGACAAGAGCCACCATCACTGCAAGGCTGGAGCAGCAGGGGCTCCCCGGGAATTATGTCACATGAGGCTCGGGTGACCTCATGGAGAAGGCAGGCATCCGAGGGGGTGGGGGTCACTGAGAGCAAGGGCACTGCCCTCATCTGTTCTGGACTTCCAATCTAGCTCTGCCCCCCTAACTAGCTGAGGCCCTAAGTACCAGAGTCTCCATCTCTTTGTCAGGTAAATGGGGAGGAAAGAAAAAGAAGGAAGGAAGGAAGGAAGGAAGGAAGGAA